GGTCTCTAAACTCAGCTAAGATATACTAATAGTTGTATTTTTGTAACATACTTTCAAAAAAGAAAAAAAATTGTATTTTTGTCTGTAACAAACTTGTTTTAATTTTATTTGGCTTTGGTTTGAACTTGTATATGAGCAATTGTTTCACAGTTGGCCTCTGGTCTTATTCTAATTAAGGACACTGAGATTCTCTACCATGTTCTCACAGGTATAGGTTATTTCTATTTCACAGATATAGGTTATTTCTATTTCACAGATATAGGTGGTTCCTATGTATGCCATCTGGTGAGGTCCAGGTGTATAGGCACTATCTATTAGTTCTACATCCCTCCTTTCTGATTCCTGATAAAAATATAAGAATGACTTTTTTATGTCTACGTGATATTTGTATATGAATCTTATACCCTAACATTTTGCTGACATTGCAGTAATTTTCTTACTAAACATGTGAGATTCCTTGTATATAGGAGCATGTTATCTGCAAACAGAGATAAATTTTACTTTTTTCCAATTTGTATGCCTTTTGTTGCCTTATTGGTCTGGCTGGAACTTTCAATACAATATCAATTAGTCATGATAAAGGACATCTTTGTCTGGTTTTGATTTAAAAGGGGAATGCCTTCAATCTCTATTGAGATTTGTGTTGGGCCTTGGTGTCCTTTCCATGCCTTTTTTTTTTTAATCAAGAAATGTGTTTATTTTTTCCAAATGCCTTTTATGCATCAATTAAATTATCACAAGGTCTTTTTTCTGTTGGTTTTTTAAAAAAATATGGCTGTGTTTTTATGCTGATCCACTCTTGCATTGTTGTTGTGTACTGTCCAGTTGGAACTGATTCATAACTGACTTGCTGGCAGGTTTTCAGAGGCAGTTAATCTCACAAGAGGAGATTGTCCATCCTTCTCCCACCCACTCTTGCATACTTGGTACAAATTCAACTTGATCATGATGTATTTTTTTTCCCTGATATGATGTTAGATTCTATTTTGATGATTTTTACATCTATGTTCATGCACAATATTGGTTTCTCATTTTCTTTTTTAATAATGTCTTTCTCTTTGCTTTGGTGCTTGTTTCATAGAATGAATTTGGGAATGTTCCATCTTTTTCTGTGTTATTAGATAATTTGAATGTAATTGGTGTCAGCTATTCTCTAAATGTTTGGTAGAAGTCAAGGGTGAAGCCACTTGGGCCAGGACACTTTTAGGTTGGACATTTTTTAATTGTCTGTTCAGTTTTTTCTTTTCTGACAAGGGCGTTCAAATTCCTGTCTCTGAGTTATCTTAAGTAGGCAATACATTTCTTGAAATTTTGTTCAATTTCTCTTCTTTTCTTTTGTTAGACTTACCAGTGGTTTGCAGATATTATTAATCCCTTCACAGAACTGACTCTTACTCTTGTTAATTCTTTCTATTTCAATAATTTTTGCCTCAACCTTTATTATTTCCTTTCTTCTGATGATTATAAGTTTTGTTTGCCGCTCTTTAGCCAGTAGCCAGAGATGCTGAGTTAAAATATGGATTCTAGTTCTTTCTTCTTTCTTCATTTGTGCATTTATTACTGTAAATGGACCTCTGAGTATTGCCTTTTCTGTGTCCTAAATATTTTGGTATGTCGTGTTTTCATTCTCATCTGTTTCAAGAAATTTTTAATTTCCTTTTTATCCAGCAACATTTAAGCAGGGTGTTATTTAGTTTCTATGTATTAGTTAGTTATTTTTCTGTTGTTGATTTTTAATTATAATGATAAATTATATTATAATTTACATTGGAAGTTAGAACTATACTATAATTTCCAATTATAATTTT